TAGTGGAGCTGAGGGCAGGGTGGGGGTGGAGGGGACAGGTGGCCTGAGCAGACCCTGTGAGCCGGAGACCAGGAACCCTTGCCCTGGGCCCAGACCTGTCCTTGGAAATCATGTTCTCCATGGTTCTTGGTATCACCTTAAGGTCTTTTCTCCTCTCCGAACTAAAGGTATTCAGATTTCTGACCTTTGAGAGTCTGTCTTTTGATTAAGAAACAACAAAGAAGAGTTGCTTTTTCCTGGCAGCTTGGGATTAGTGGGGAGGGTCTCAGAGTAGCTGATGTCAGCCCTGGGTTCCTCCACGGACCCTGAGCAAGACCCGGCCCCTCTCTGGCCTCAACTCCAGCATCTGTAAAACGGTGGGGCTGGGCTGGACGGTCTGGTGCCCTCCACGGTCTTCTGGCTTCGGGGCAGAAAGAGGGCCCGGGTGCTGTGTAGAATCGATGGGCTGTTTCCGCCCTTTCCCGGTGTGATGCGATCAAATCTAGCTGCTGAGTCTTTCTCCTTGAGCGTTTCTGGCTCTACTATTCTGTTTTAGACCCTCAAACCAAGGCCTCTCAGGGGTCCTCTGCCTCTGCTCAGGCTCCTGGGAGACCTTGTCACCCAGCCACCTGGGGCCGCCATCCTGCAAGTGACCGATGGGACAGCGGGTGCTCGGTCCTTTGCCTGTGAACACTAAGCTGCCCTCTTTCGCTTTTCACGATATTCAAGCTTTGTTGTCGTTTTCCCCCAGGCCAGTGACAGGAAGAGTCATACGGACTTTGCCGCCGGCATGTCACGGCGCGAGCCAGGGGCCCTCGGTCGCCGGGGACGGCGGCCGCCCTCTCAGTGAGTTCCCAGGCGGCAGCCAGAGGCCTCCTTCCAAGGGAAGCAGTCTCAGGCCTGCTGTGTGAATTCTTTTCTGCCTGGTGGCATTACTGTATTTCAGAAAAAACTGATATTTAAGTTGGTTGTTTTTCCCTCTCTCAGATTTTTCAAGGAGAAAAAAAAGACTCAGTCATTTGCCTGGAAGATTGACAAGACCATGGGTTTGCAATCAGTTGATCTCAAAATTAACATCAATCAAAATGAAAATTGATCTCAGTGATGTGTTCGGGTGAGTCGACGCCTGGTGTCCCGGTGTTTTAAGACACCAGGTCATGTTGAAGAGCAGCCGTGTGCCTGCCGTTCAGTCACTAACCCAAACGTTCTAACCTGCGGTCATCCAAGCCGGCGGAAGATCCCACTGGCTTTACTGAGCGATTGAACCGGCAGCTTCCCCTCTGGAGCGAGGACAGCGGGCTCTGAGGGCTGGTACGAAACAGAAGGTTCTACTAGACGGCAGGGGTGGGGGCGAGTGTTCAGCAAAAGAACAGGGCCTGTTCCGGGCAAGGCCGCGTCCTCGGAGGGGTGAGCCGGGGGCTCCGCAATGCCGATCGCCTTGTCTTCTCTTAGGGGAGGTGGGGCCGACTCGAGTGACAGACTGTTTCATCGATGCTGACCATGAAATCCCGTTTCCGTTCCTGGGGAGGGCTGAAACTGCAGTCAAGTTTCGGGTTAAGCCCCGGTGTGGTGACTCGGCCCCGCAGAGGTGACCCGCGTCGGGCCTCTAATGCAGGGAGCGATCGTCCTCGCCTGGCCTCTTGCTTTGCAGGAACTGATACTGTTGGTGTATTTGTGGCGTGAGGCCCTTGGCCTCCCAGCCTCACACACGCCCCCCAAGGCTGGGCCTTGGGGCCTTGCAGGGGTGCTAACTGCTCTGTGTGTGCCCACAAGATGCAGGCTTTATGGACTCCAACAATTCTGGCCACTTTCTGAATCTGGAATGATTAGTTGCCTATGGACTGGGGAGCTGAGGGATTTTCATTTTTACCTTCTTTTGGAATAAATGACAGCGTCAACTTTCAGAGAGGCAGTGAGCCCTCGGGGGGTTCTCGCTACCCAAGGGCAGGGACCTGGGTCCCCGCCCGGACTTGGTGCTGGCTCCTGTGTGCACAAAGCCCCGCTGCTGGGAGGGGAGGAGCCGGAGGTGTACGCGCGCTTGGTCCTGGATCGGCCTGTGATGTCCGGGCCCCACGGGGTCCTCAGTGTGTCTAGGGCGGGCGTCTCCACGCAGCACTGAACTCACGGATATGACTCGGCTGCCGCTAGCGCGGGGGACGGAGTGTTGCTGCAGGGGACTGAGACGTGCCGGGGAGCCTTCGCTGCCCCGCGCCGCTCGGTCCAGGGCCCTGACACGGGCAGGGAAGGAAACGAGTGGGAAGCAGGGGATTCTGGAGCCAGGGCCGGGTGAGAGTGGCACTAGGTGTCCGGAAACTCCACAGCCCCTCAGCTGGCGGCCGCAGAGGGCACATCATGGGGAGCAGAGGCGGCTGGCTGCCCTGGGGTGGGGCCGGTCGCCTGCAGCCACTGCTCAGACACGCCTTTGGAACGCCCGTGGTCACCTGTGCAAACAGTGAGCGTCTGGGCCTGGGTGGCAGGCAGGGACGGCATGTTTACACCCGCCTGGGCGGGGCCAGGTGGCCAGGTTGGCTTCACCAGGCACATGCGCCTTGCTCTTTGGAGGGGATGTTTCGGGAAACAGGCTCAGAACCCCAGTGGCAGGCTTGCTGTGTGAACCGTGCCCAGCATGGACAAGGGCTTCACATGACAGAGCCAGGCTGAGCCCCCAGCAAGGT